TGGATGATGCACGGAGGGGATTGTAATCATTGCAATGAAACAATGAGTGTAAAACCAATGTTCTCCCATGTAAACTAGCACTCAATTTACAAAAAAACTTAAAAAGAAAAATTTATGCTTCGAAGTGTCTTCTGCAAAGACATAACTTCATAAAATCCTATGTTTTTTCAGTGTTGCGCTGTGGGTTAATGCGCCAGACTGCAAAGCCGTTTGAACTGCAAGGTTGGTGGTTCAAGCTCACCAGTCATTCCTTGGAAACCCTATACAGGGTTGCTATGGGTCAGAACCGACTTGGTAGCACTTAACAACAACAACAACAAACCGACACTGTAGGATAAGCACAGGAATGCTTACTGCAAGGTCAGCTGTTCAAACCTGTTAGCAGCTTCTTGAAAACCTTGTACAGGGTCACTATGAGTTGGAACTGACTCAATGTCTCTTAACAATAACAACCACCCAACATTACCCAAAACATTTACATGTATATATTTTTTAATTGCTTTATAAAGTTTCTTTATATTTTTGATAAACTTGTGGTGTTTAAAAATTTTTTTAAACCACCAAAACTTAATTGCGTTCTTCCCGTAAGCAGCCTGAGGTAATCTCACAAAATGGTTCGCTACTCACTTGACCCAGAAAACCCCACAAAATCATGCAAATCCAAAGGTTCAAATCTCCGGGTCCATTTTAAGAACACCCATGAGACTGCCCAGGTCATCAAGGGTATGTATATCCGGAAAGCCACCAAGTATCTTAAAGATGTCACTTTGCAGAAGCAATGTGTACCATTTCGACGTTACAATGGTGGCATTGGTAGGTGTGCCCAGGCCAAACAGTGGGGTTGGACACAGGGTCGGTGGCCCAAAAAGAGCGCTGAATTTTTGCTGCACATGCTTAAAAATGCAGAGAGCAATGCTGAACTTAAGGGTTTAGATGTAGATTCTCTGGTCATTGAGCATATCTAGGTCAACAAAACTCCCAAGATGCGCCGCCGAACTTACAGAGCTCATGTTCGGATCAACCCTACATGAGCTCCTCTTGCCATATTGAGATGATCCTCACTGAAAAGGAACCAATTGTTCCTAAACCAGAAGAGGAGGTTGCCCAGAAGAAAAAGATATCTCAGAAGAAACTGAAGAAACAAAATCTTAAAAAAAAATTGCACAATTGTTGCTGTTGTTAATGTGCCATCAAGACAGTTTCAACTCATAATGAACCTTATAGGGCTTGTGAAAGCAGCTGGTGGATTTGAACTGCCAACCTTACAGTTAGCAGTTCAGTATTTATCTTGTAGCACTACACCAGAGCTCAAATTGCAGAATAGTATGCTAAATATATTAGATGTTCAGGGCTGATAATACAGATACCCTGGACATTCTTGAGGAACTTTTTGGAGTAGCAATAATGTCAGTAACTTTAATACCTGTTGGATCTCTTCATTTTGGCTTTACCATCGCTCCCTAACTCCTAATATTTTTGTTTGTTTTTGTTGGTTGATTATTTTAATAGAAAAAACTAAATTGAGTTAATTTTATAGGAATCAGTATTTAGTGACAATAACGGCAAATTATTTTACTTATAATGGGTGATGATACTCTGCTGATACTGTATTGTCAGAACCTGTAATATAGAACTGCTACTATAGGCTCAAAATTGTCACTGATTATGAAATACCCAAGCTTTGTCTAGTGTGACTTTTATACTGGCACTGAAAATAGTTCCTCAAGAGGTGTTCCAGGGATGTTTGGAGTAGTTGTAACATTGTGGAAGTGAGTATATGTATAGCTAGCTTTCTGAGATAATCATACTTTGAGTACTATGGCATTAAAACGTTATTCTCAATTATTCTAGATTGTCATTCTTCACAGTATGATGTGTGAGACCTAGTCATGGGTAGAAATGGGGAATTACAATTTAAGTAATCTAAAGTCAAGACCCAGCATTCATTATAATCAACCAGTTAGTGTTTTCTTGATTTCTCCTGTCAAGTCATATGGTTCTAACTGCATGTTCAGATTTTAGAAAAACATTAATTCTGTAGACTCTCAAAGCAATACTGAACATTAGTCATAGAAGGCGGGCCCTTTTACTGCTACATTCTGAAATACAATCAAATGTTTTATTTAGTTAACAGGAACTTATTTTTTTACATGGTCCAGTTACATGCCATATATAATAATAATTGGAACTTAAGACATTCTTACAAATAAGTTTGCTTTAAGGTCATAAAAGTTCTTAAAGTATAAGTGCTTCCTAGAAGTTTATTATTCCATTGTCATGGCTAACCTGTGTTACAGTTTAAGGTTTCGTCTCTAGATTACCATACTGCTTCCTTTATTTCTCCTAACCCTCCTTCTAGGTCTTTTGTTGTTGTTAAGTACCATGGAGTCGGTTCCGACCCATAGCGACCCTGCGCAGGGTTTCCGAGGCTGTAAATCTTTATGGGAGCAGAAAGCCTCATTTTTCTCCCGTGGAATGGCTGGTAGTTTCAATGGCAGTTTCAAACTGCTAACCTTGAGGTTAGCAGCCCGATTTGTAACCACTGCGCTACCAGAGCTCCTTGATCTCTTAGACACTAACAATTCTTCTACTTCAGAGATAAGATCAGTCCATTAACCCATCCACTTTTTTATATAACTGCACCACTTTCTCCCCTAAATGTCTCACTTCTCTCTTTTCCCAGCTAAATTTTCATGGATCACCATTCCAGTTATTCCCTTATAAACATTCTTAATTCCTTTACCTTGCATTCCTTCAGTTAACACTCTAGGGGCAAAATCAACATGGGATAAAATCCAACTATCCATCTGTTTCATGAGTGTACCTGAGAAAACACAATTTGGTTGACTTGCTCCACTTGCCTACTTTCAATTCAGAACTGCAATCTCTAATAAGCACATAATACTGCTTTGCAATAGTCGTACTTTATTTCTTTAGTACATTTAATGTTACACTGTTAATGTTATATCTTCCTTTCCTCAATAAAAATGGGTAGTTAGAAACTCTTACTTTCCTACTCAAATCTGCCACACTGCCAGCATCTCTACTCTTTTCTGCCATGCAGTAGATGAAATGTCCTAAGTTGTATCAAAGACCATCCCTCCACTATATTCAGAACTGATTATCACTTCAATATTTGCATGACATGTAATCACGTATACCATCTGCTCCACCTCCATTCAAGTATAAGAAATATGGTATAATGGAAACATCACTTTGACCCAGAAGATATAGATTTTAGTATCTCCCTCTTCCACTAACTTCTTTATATCTTTGAGCAAGTTTCTTGATGGGTCTAGACTTCGTTAGGGGAGAGTTAGGATATTTTTTAAGATTTTAACATGCTATCATATTGATTTCACTCAAAGGGCTTATTGTTAAGTGCCGTAGAGTCAGTTTTGACTTATAGTAGCCCTGTATAGGATTTCTGAGGAGCGGTGATGAGTCTGAACCGCTGACCTTACAGTTCAGACAGACTTTATGGTCCAGTGCTTATCCTGTAGCATCACACCAGAACTCATTAAAGGGCTTAGTAAACATTTTAACTCTAAAGTTGTTTGTCAAAAACTTAGCTCATTTTAGTATTAACTATACATCATTGCTGATCTCCAGTGGATCTTGGCTGAAAGCAGAGAATATCAGAAAGATGTTTACCTGTGCTTTATTGACTATGCAAAGACTTTCAGTTGTGTGGATTATGACAAGCTATGGACAACATGCGAAGTATGAGTATTCCAGAACACTTAATTGTGCTCATGAGGAATCTGTCCCTGGACCAAGAGGCAGTTGTTCGAACAGAACATGGGAACACTGAATGGTTTAAAATTTGTATTCTTTCACCATACTTATTCAACCTGTATGCTGAGCAAATCATCCGAAAAGCTGGGTTCTATGAAGACAAACGTGGCATCAGGATTGGAGGAAGACTCATTAACAACCTGTGATATGCAGATGATACAACCTTGCTTGCTGAAAGTGAAGAGAACTTAAAACATTTACTGATGAAGTTCAAAGAGCACAACCTTTGGTATGGATTACATCTTAATGTCAAGAAAACAAAAATCCTCACCACTGGAAAAATAAACAATATTCTTATCAACAGAGAAAAAATTGAAGTTGTCAAGGACTTCAATCTTCGTGGATCAACTATCAACACTCATGGAAGCAGCAGTCAAGAAATCAAATGACGTATTGCATTAGGCAAATCTGCTGCACACAACCTTTTTAAAGTGTTGAAGAGCAAAGATATCAGCTTGAGGACTAAGGTTCGTCTGATCAAGCCATGGTATTTTCAATAACCTCATATGCATGTGAAAGCTGGACAGTGAATAAGGAAGACCTTAGAAGAATTGATGCTTTTGAGTTATAGTGTTGGAGGAGAATTTTGAAAGTATCATGGGCTGCCAAAAGAACCAGCAGATCTTTTTTGGAAGAAATGCAGCCCGAGTGCTCCTTGGAGACCAAGATAGCCAAATTTCGTTTTTCATGTTTCGGACATATTGTCAGGAGGGACCAGTCGCTGGAGAAGGATATCATGTTTGATAAGGTGGAGGGTCAGAGAAAAAGAGGAAGACCCCCAACGAGATGGATTGGCCAAGTGGCAGCATCGATGGACTCAAGTGTAACAACATTAGTGAGCTTGGGCCATGATCAGGCAGTGTTTTGTTCTGCTGTGCATAAGGTTGCTATGAGTAGGTGCCGACTCGATGGCACCTAACAACACAACAAATACAGTCAACATATGGTTTGTTGACTTAAATTTACAAATAATTTCTATAGTTAGATTATTATAGACGTATCTAATTCTATTCAAGTAGCATCCTTAATACATATATGTACTATCTTAGTCACTCAGAATATAGGTAATAAGCATATGAAATTACTGAGTTACTCATCTTTTAAGGGTTAGAGTTAAATTTTAATTTAAAACTATGGTTTCTTATCAGTATTTGATCTACCTTTTAAAACAGTAGTCAGATTTGTGCAGTCTGTATTGCTCCAGCAAAATGAATCTAATTTGGCAGTATGTGTTTTTGGAAAACTAAACTAGTTCATTTTAAGTATGCTCATTGTGTTCAGTTTCCAAAGGCATGAAATGAAGTTCCCTTATGAGTCAGTCATATTGTGTGATATATTAAAAATTAGCCACCTAACTGTTGAAAGGGGAGCAGCACGATGGCTCCACTCAATAAGCACTGGACTGTGAACCACAGGTCAAGCACACCAGCCACTCCACAGGAGAAAGTTAAGGCTTTCTGCTCCCGTGAGGACTTAAAGCCTTTGAAACCCTCTACAGGGTCACTGTGAGTCGGAATTGACTCAATGGCATTTAGTAACAACAACAACCATTGTAAAGGCTGTCTCTGTATACTTTACTGATTTTCAAAATCTTTTAAGTAAATATAATTAGTAAAACTTTAATCAGTCTTAAAACATAGAGGTAATCACTTGGTTTTGCTAGTATGCATTTAAAATATTAGTGAGCATTTTGCATCCTCAAAGACTTATGTATTACAAAGTCCTTCTATCCACTGAGCTATAATTTGGTTTAGATTTTAGTCTGAGTTTGGATTTAAAGTTTATTTCAAGGAAAACCATTTGAAATTACTGTCTTCCAATGGAAATGTTTCTTAAATGGAGGATATTAAAGGTTGATTAGGAAAAGAAATAATAAAAGGAAGCTCACCAGTAGATATTTTATTGGTTAAAGAACTTTTCGTATCATAATTTAATATAGTATATAGAAAATTATCTTGATATTATAAGGGCACAAAGTACTTCTAAATCATGGATTGATCAGCTTAGCATATGTTCTCTATGTAAATCGGAACTAAGAGCTTTGGTCAAATTCAAAGTATTTACAAATAAATATTAACATTTAAAATATCTAGGTAAATATATATTTAAAAATAAAGTTACAGAGAAAAGAATAGAAATAACTAATGCACTTTATTATTGTTTTAGCTCCTGGAACCCGTATGCCACCAGCTCTTTGAGCTCTATCGCAGCTCTGAAGTTCGACTTAAGAGGTTCACACTGCAGTTCTTACCAGAATTGATATGGGTTTATCTGCGGCTTACTGTTAGCAGAGACAGACAAAGTAATGGTTGTATTGAAGCTCTTCTGTTAGGAATTTACAATTTGGTAAGTTGAAAATGATAGGAAACACTAATTGTTTTAGAAAGCAAGTTGGTATTATAGTTGGTAACATTGTTAATATAGTATGACTTACTCTTCGTATTGTTTCAGTTGATCAGTATTTATGAAGGCTTTCTTTATAAGGCATTGAGTTGGCACTAATAAATATAATAAAAATTTGATGTGTTGCCTACTTTTAGGAATCTTCTGCTCTGCTAGAGAAGACATATTTAGAGATGACTAAATGCACCCATTCCTCACTTATTGACATGATTAGGTTTCAGAGATGAGGTCATTATTTGAAAATCAGTGTTATGAAAAAATGGAGATCACAAAATGGAAGGTAACTAAGTACATCATTATATAGCTGCCAGACCACCGAGAGTCATGGCCCAGTCAAGTTTACACAAACCCTAACCATCACAGCCAGTGGTACGCTTGCATTACATCTTGGCATTTGCTAACTGCCAGAATTCCATCATTAATGCACAAATGAGACAGTAGATTTTGTAACATTGCCATAAATTTTAAATGTCAGATCATGAGATCGTTTATAAGTGAGAAGTAGATGTAATGCCAAGTTTTTATGATAAGAGGATTTTAGCAAGAAACTCAGATATGGCTAAAATTATTATGGCAATCTTCATTGAGATAATGGCATCTAAGCTGGAGTTTAGCAAGACATGTCGTTTTAACAGGTTGAAATTAGGTAGTGGTGGTAGTGATTATGTGCTGTGGAGTCAGTTCTGACTCATAACGACCCTGTATAGTGTTTCCGAGGCTGTAAAATCTTTACGGGAGTAGAAACCCTCATCTTTCTCCCTTGATACAGCTGGTAGTTTCAAACTGCTGACCTTGAGGTTAGCAGCCTGACTCATGAGCCCTATGCTACCAGAGCTCCTCTGAGATTAGGAGTAGATGAGATTTCATAAATACATTTAAAAATGAGCCTAAGCACAGATGTAAGAAAGTCACTTTGTAGAATAAAAAAGTAATTCTTTTTGAAGCACAGAATATATATGCAAGTTTGGAAAGATAGTTTGGCATCAGTTGTAGGTTGTTGTTGGCCGTGGAGTCAGTTCCGACTCATAGCGACCCTGTAGAGGGTTTCCGAGGCTATAAATCTTTACGGGAGAAGAAAGCCTTATCTTTCTCTTGTGGAACAGCTGGTAGTTTCGAACTGCTGACCTTGAGATTAGCAGCCTGATTCATAAGAAGAGAGTTTAGGTTTTCTTTAATAGGCATTGGGAAAGAAATTTTTGAATAGCATAAAAACACTATTTATTTAGCATTTATTCAGTGGTGTATGCAGTGAGGCCTTGGAATTCTAAATGGAATTAAATGGCTGTCCTTTATATTTTGAAGGCTATATATAACTGGGAATAATTGTGGGAGTGGACATGAGATTTCTGTCTCTTAAGGGAGACATATTAGTTAAGGCAGAAAACATACAATATACTGTTAGAGCCTGTCAGAATCTGAAATCTGAGTAACGCTATAGTGGAAACTAGAGGGAGAAAATAAACCATTTAACATTTCCTAAATGCTAGAAGCCTTGTATGAAAGAAACTTAAAGACTAAAACTGGATTGCTTCTACAGATGGGTAGGTACACTAGAAAGGGAAGAACTGAAGGAAGGAAGCCCAGGGAGAAAGATGGAGACAATTAGGAAGCAAGACTTCTTTTCTTTTTAATGCTAAGAAACAGAATAGCGTATCCAATTTCCCCCCTCATGTGCCTCTGCAAAAACAGATCCATGAATCTAATGAATGTGTCTGGAATCACTCAGGGTGGGCTGGGGAGTGGAATGAGAAACCACTGCATAAAACTTGCTTATGTTTACCTTTAAGATATGGAGCTTATTAAAATTTCCAATTCACACTGTAATTTGATCATAAAATTTTATGTAGTTTGTGCACTTATTTTAAATAAAGCCTAATCTGGGATATTGGTGTTAAAATTCATGCCCTGTGAAGTTTTATATTCTGTGCATTTAGTAAACATTATAAACACTTCACATAACAAAATGTAACTTTATAGTTGAAAGTTATATAATATTCTCATAAAGTTCTCATAATAAATATTGAGTCTCATAATAAATTTGTATTCTATATCACTTCAAAACTCATTAGAAAACATTTGCATCAGTAGAACCTGATGTAAGGAGCATGGACTTTGCAATCACTTGTATTCTGTTCAAAACCAGGTCCTTACTCTTATTTTAAATATGAACAAGTTACTTAGTATCTTGACAGCAGGTGTCACATCTGTAAGACAGAAATAAAAGACTGTGAGTAAGGATTAAAAGCAATTAGAGCATCCTAGCACATTGCCTGATCTGTTTGTCATTATTGCTAAGTGTCATGTAGTCACTTCTGACTCATAGTGTTAGAAATGAATCCCGATGTCACATAAAAGACACTCGGTGAGACTAAATAACACTGGCAAAGCAAAATTTACTTTTGCAAGAGGGTGCGTGCACATAGCTGTACATACAGGAACAAGCCAGCAAGCACACCGAGTGGGCAGTCCGCTCGGGTTTTTAATTCCTGACGCGAGCCTCAAGGCTGTGTCTCACCCCATTGGCTTGGGTTTTGACCGCACAATCTTTTCCCTTACCTGGTTGGCTAGTTCAAATTTTTAAGGTACGCATTCCTACTTTAGGAAAAGAAGAAGAGAGCCATCATAAATTCTTTCCTCCACGAAGTAGTTAAAAAGAAAATGATCATAAATTCTTTACTCCAGGAAGTAGTTAAAAGAAAGAGAGAGAGATCATAAAGTTTTTACTTCAGGAAATAAAGAAAAAAGAAAGGTTACCCAAATATAATAAACAGGATTATAATAAATATTTATATATATATTTCCC